TTTAACTTTTTATTCATCAAAGAATCCTGAAAAAAAATGTACTCCACTTTTTAAAATATTGGTTATAATAATAATATTTCTTGAGCAGCAAATCAGCATATTAGAATGATTTCTGAAGATCATGTGACACTGAAGACTGGAGTAATGATGCTGAAAATACAGCTGCGCATCACAGAAATAAATTACATTTTAACATCAATTTAAATAGAAAGCAGTTATTTGAAATAGTAAAAATATTTCACAATATTACTGATTTTGCTGTATTTTGGATCAAATAATGCCAGCTTGGTGAGCAGAAGAGGCTTCTTTAAAAACATTAAAATTCTTGCTGTTCTAAAACTTTTGACCGGTAGTGTAGCTTTTCTAATTGGTCTGTAATCATCCATAGAGCATGTGTCATTGATATCCAGTGTGTGTGATTGTGGATTATGATCAGGTTACGCTCTGGACCCGTCTGTGGACACCAGTCAGGTCTCGTCCAGCAGCTACATTGGAGCCGTAGAAGAAGCAGAGAAAAACAAAGGTTTGATTCACATCATTCAGCATCTGCCTTCATGTTTCTCTTTGCCATGTTTCGCAGTTATGAATAATGTGTCAATAATAACTCTCAATCAAAATGGACTCGGTTTACTTGTAACACTGCACATGTAAAATCCCCCGTGTCATGATTCGGTGCAGTTATTGACAATACATTAAAATAAAATAGCATCACAACCATTCAATCAAATAACAATTTGAGGTAAAATGTTATATATTTTGTTATTAGTTACTATATATTCAAATCAAATATTATTTATTCATAATTTTTTATATGTACTTTTATATTTAAAAATGTGTATTTTTTTTATTTAACAATTTTTAGTTTATTTATTCAACAATATACTACAAGCCATTTAAGTCCCTTAAGGCTAAAATAAAGACCTGCCCTGTTTTTTTCCCCAATTTTTTTTTGCTTCAAGTGCATCTGATTATGAAATGTTAATATTAAATATTATAACAGCCTATTTTTCATAAGCCAGTCAAATCTTTTTTTGTTTTTTTTGTTCAAGACTGCAAAATGTTAATGTACAAAATACATTGGTAGAAAATAAAATGCAAAAATAATAAAAATAAAATGCAAAAATAAAATAATAAATAAAATCTGTAAATAATGTGTGTGTGTATATATATATATATATATATATTCTCTTTGCCATGTTTCGCAGTTATGAATAATGTGTCAATAATAACTCTCAATCAAAATGGACTCGGTTTACTTGTAACACTGCACATGTAAAATCCCCCGTGTCATGATTCGGTGCAGTTATTGACAATACATTAAAATAAAATAGCATCACAACCATTCAATCAAATAACAATTTGAGGTAAAATGTTATATATTTTGTTATTAGTTACTATATATTCAAATCAAATATTATTTATTCATAATTTTTTATATGTACTTTTATATTTAAAAATGTGTATTTTTTTTATTTAACAATTTTTAGTTTATTTATTCAACAATATACTACAAGCCATTTAAGTCCCTTAAGGCTAAAATAAAGACCTGCCCTGTTTTTTTCCCCAATTTGTTTTTGCTTCAAGTGCATCTGATTATGAAATGTTAATATTAAATATTATAACAGCCTATTTTTCATAAGCCAGTCAAATCTTTTTTTGTTTTTTTTGTTCAAGACTGCAAAATGTTAATGTACAAAATACATTGGTAGAAAATAAAATGCAAAAATAATAAAAATAAAATGCAAAAATAAAATAATAAATAAAATCTGTAAATAATGTGTGTGTGTATATATATATATATATA